AAGCTTCTGACAGCTGGGTCCTCTAGAAGTTTATGTCCACAGACACCCCAAGATGGGAAGGCACTGAAGCATGAAGAGGCTGACTCACACTGGGCTCCTCCAGCTGCTGGCTAGTCTTTACTTGGAAGCCAAAAATATTCTGTCATTGTCAAACAATCAGTGGTAAAAGGGCAGTTCTTCTAAAAAATGGATGGAACAGTGTGCTGATTTATGAACGATAGATGATGAATGGATAGAAAGAAATCGATGGGCAGATGCTTAATGGATGGAGATAACAGATAAGGAATACACACAGGTATGTGACATGCATACATGACTATTAATGCATTGATAAATAGATGAATGAAGAAGATACCTGAATATTTGTACAGATTAGACAGATGACATATAGATAGATGTTTGGATGTATGGGTAGATAGATGATGGGTGGGTGGTTGGATACATAGATGGACAATTTATACATGGGTAATTTGGAAAATTAGGAAGATAACAGGAGATTGTCTTAGAGTTTTTATTGCTATGATGAAACCCAATGACTAAAAGCATGTTGGGGAGAAAAGGGTTTATTTGGCTTAACTTCTAGATCACTGTTAATCACAGAAGTAAATCAGGACAGGAACTCAGACAGCGATAGAACATGGAGGCAGGAGCTGATGCAGAGGCCACGGAAGGTGCTACTTACTGGCCTGCTCACACAGCTTGTCCAGCCTGCTTTCTTATAGAGCCCTGGGCCACAGTGGGCCTGGGACCTTCCCCCATTGATCACTAATTAAGAAAATGCCTTACAGACGGACATTATGGAGGCATTTTTCTCATTTGAGACTCCTTCCTCTATGATTCTAGCTCATGTCAAGATGACACAAAACTAGCCAGTACAGTGATGGATGGTCAATAGATGGAAGGAAGGCTAGAGGGATAGAAAAACAAATGACACAAAGAACCAATGACATGAGAACATAAAAAATGGAACTTAGAAACCAATTCTTTTTAACCCCAGGAGGCATAAGAATCCCTTGAAGAACTTAGTAACAGAATTGTGGGTCTTGTCTCAACAATTTCAATTCAGTAGGTTTAAACTGACACCTAGGATTTGATATTTTAAAAGCATATTAAACAATGCTATTACACTTAAGCTGGTTCAAGAGCCACACTTTGAAACCCCCTGCCCTAAACTCCAGCCATCAAAGGGCATGCACAAACCAGTCTCGGTCAAGGTCAAAACTGAATGTCTTTCCCAGGCTGCCATTCAGGGTGTTTCTGTGGCGAGAGGGACAGAAAGCATACTGCCATTTGGTCCCCCAGCCCAGTGTCAGAAAACAATTCCTATTTTCATGCTTTGCAAGGAAGCGTGGTCACAGGCCCATCACCAGCACGGCACAGGGCCTTGTGGCCTCAAGCTGGGCGAGACTGCCCTACTAGCTACACAGTATGTGGCAGGCATGTCTTGAGCAATGGGCTAACTCAAGCCCAGTTGTGCCACCAAAACCTTCCGACTGGCCTGCTGCTCTTGGCTCCATTTTTAGCCTCCAGTGACGCTGAAGGACTTCAAGAGCTCCTCTCCCAAGAGGGCCAGGAACATGTGCATTCTGTCACTAATGCCTAGTAGGTGAAGAAGCCAACGTCTCTGAGAGCTTCAGTGTCACACGAGATCCTGCCTGGCTCAGGTCCTTCTTGTCTTCCTCAGAGCATACCCCAACCACTTTCCCTCACCAGAGGGGCCTCAGACTCTGACCCCTGGAAGCCTACCAAAGTACATCATCTTGCTGGCCTGTCTGGCTACTTCTTGTGAGCTTTCGTCCCTCACATTTTAATGGCTTCTCAGTTTAGGCTTGGGTCATGCCAAGAACATGTTAGAATGTCCCAACTTTAACTCTGGTTTTCAGTATTCACCTATCAGTCCCTTAGCTAGTGCTGGATTTTGCCCTATTCTGCCACACACATCACCCCACTCTCATGACAAATACACATGGGTGGGGGAATCAGCTGCTCCATTTGGCCTCAATTCAAAATGGCTTATCAATGGGCAGTAATTTCTCTCCCCCATTCCATCTTCTCTCCTTGTTATGTCACTATTTATTTGTTTGTTTATTATCTATCTATCTATCTATCTATCTATTTATTTATTTATTTATATTGAGATCCATCTGCTATCTAGCCTGGACTAGTCACCATGCCCTGGCCTCCTAAGTGCTGAGATCTCTTTCTTGCACTCTGGTATGCTTATGATAACCATATGAATTCACAGCACTTTACACTGTAAAGACTTTCCCTATTTATTATTTTATTTCAACCTCTCTACAAAGTAGACAAAACTTGGCACCATTTTCAGAGACAAACAGGACAAGCTGAATGGTTAAAGGGCCAGCTCAAAAGGTCAGTGTTAAATAGATCTCAGCAGCAATTAACTTTTTAAAATAGTTTTAAAATGTCTTTCATGGGCAAATAATAAGGAGTGTTTTCTCAAATAAAACCCATTTTCCTGTATGTTCAGGTCACCCTGGGCCTCAGATGGCCACTGCTCCCCGAAGCACCCCCATTAGCCGTGTGGGGCTCCAAACCCCAAGTCTCTACTCAGCACTGCCCTCCTGGACTGGAATGAAAAGAAGATAGGGGGCATCTAACAGAAAGAGCTTGGGGCAAACCCAAAAGGAAAGGCTTACTACTTACTCTTCAGGGCGAAAATGAGTGCTGGCAAGCCCTATGCTGTGACAGGGATGTGTCGATGCCATCAGGCAGCACTGGCAGGGGTTGGGGCTCACTGAGCTGCCTGGCATGTGCATTTGTGACCTTTGCTTGGTCACCACCAGGATGTAGGCAAGTAGGGGTTCCCTTTGGGTAAAGCTAAGGGCTGGGGCACACCTCCTTCGACCTGATCCCCCTTCTAGGGAGGGGAGAACAAGCACCCTTGGATGAGACAGATGCTCAGCATTGTGAGCAAGCTACTCTGCATGCTTCTCCCTCTGGCTAAATCAATGTCACCAAAGTCCAACCAAGGTGGCAGCGTGATCTCGGCTAAAGTTAGCAGCAGCCCTGTATAAAACGAGGGTACCTCAAACCCCCAAAATCCACAGAGACTCAAAATATTCCTGGAACCAAACCAAGGGAAGCACTGCAAAGGGGCCTCAGCGGTGACTCACATTCACCCTGAGGAAATTGGGGTGGCGATGGATAGCCATTTGTGGGTGCAGCCACACCGTGGCCCCCGCAGTGTCCCCACCCACCGCCCTTTTCCTCGGTCCCTGGCGGTGGCGCACAGCTCGTCCCGTTCTCTCCTCCCTCCCCCCCAACACACAGAACCGCAGTCTACACCATCCTTTTTCAACAAAACAAAACGACTCACCACCACCCCTCCCCAGCACCCGCACCGGCCGGATCCGGGGCTACGCCCAGTCCTTCACTAGGCAATGCGCACCCGGGTGCGCGCTCCGCGTCCCCGCTTCCCTGCAGACACCCCTTGCCCCTGTTCCAGACAGTCCCATAGCTCCGTGAGAGTGCGGACCAAGATCCAACCTCGGGCTCCACGGCCCAGCTTGGGCTCTGCCCCTCCCCCTCTCCAGCCTCCCGAAGGGACAGGAGGGACAGGACGGCGCGCGCAGGGTGTCCCGTGTTAACCGCCTAGGCGCCGCCGGAGTCTGGAGCTCCAGGAACAGGACTCACCGGAATGTGCACTCGCAGAGATCTTCTCTTCAGGCCAGGGTTCTTCTTGCCACTGCTCCCGCCAGGGCTGGAAACCTCTTTCTTCTTCTTGGTGTCCATGGCTGCGCTTCCCATAACTTTAGCCAGAAGTTAATTCCGGTGCCTCGTCCCCGGGGTTCGGTCCCCTCACTGCCTCCCAGGGCTGCTGCCGTTACACTGGAGCCGCGCGCTTTTTATGACTGTCCTTCTACCCTGAAAACACCTCGTGGGGACTTCCGCGGGGAGGGCGGGTGGCGCAGGTAACACGCGGGGCTCCACCCGAGGGGCTGGCGGTCAGCGGAATGCCGGATTGGAGCGACCTCTTTCTCCTACGGAACCATCGGTTGCAGAGTCGCGGCCCGTGCTGCTTTTGGTTACGCGTGGCAGAAGTCTCGTGTTGGGTGACAAAGTTTTCCTCTTTCTGCAGAGCAAAGCAACATTTTCCACCTCTCGGCTCCTCCCACAGATTCCCAGAGGTAATCGGCCAGGCAGGTGCAATTAGCAACAGCAATTTGGAAAACAGCCTTCCCGTGATTGTGCCTTGTTGGAAACGGTGGTCAGAGAAAGACACTTGGGAGAGAAAGGCATAACCCTGGGCCGCACAATAAAGCGGCAGGGAGCCTGGGACCCGGAGGGCCTCCTCTCTGCCGAGAGGGAGGGCAGAGGGGGAAGAGGAGGTGCAAAGGCGAAAGCTCCTCGCAATTGGGCTGGCGCGTGGCCGCAGGAATGAACTGTGGCAGCCGCTGGCTGGGTTCTGCGGGCCGAAGGGCGCGCCCCAGTCCCTAGGGGAGAATAGGGCAGGGCGCCCGCTCCGGGGCGTCCTCTGAGCGGCGTCCCCGGAGACCCGGGGAACTGTAGGGGCCGGGCCTGGCACCGACGCAGGCTCCGGGAGCGCTGGGCGGTGGAAGGCGGCGCGCGCGTTGAACAGGAAGTGCGCGGCGTGCGGCGCCACTGTCCCACTCCACGCCGCCCACGCCGCCCAGGGGTGGTCGCTGAGCATTATCTGACTCAAGCTAAGCCGACTCCGGACTGGCCCGGAGCTCATTTCTGATCCATCGGGTTTTGTAGTGTCTCTGCTTAGGTCTGACCCCCGGAAACACACATCTACACCCCAACCACGCCGCGACTGAAGCCCCAGAGTGTGAGTGGTTCGGGTGACCGCACTTGCTTCGCGCATCTCCGTTTCCCTGCGGCTTGGGAACCCCCATCCTCGTCCAGAATGACGTAGCGAGTGCAGGCTTTCCTCCACGACCCGGTTCTTTTCAGATTCATCAAAGGTTGCACAGCAAACCTTGATCCTCAGTGAGTGCCAAAGTCCTAAAACCATGGGAGGAAATGAGTACCTCGGACCTGAAAACCAGGGCGAACACACCATGTGCTCTGGGACACATGTGCTACTGGCTGCAGATCTGGCACTGCGGGGAAACCCAGGGCCCTGGTATTCCTTCCAGGCTGCTCAACCGTGGGCTTCTGGTGTGAGTGAGGGGCACCTTCCGCTCCTGTTCGGAGTTAAAGACCTGGTGACACCAAAGGTCACTCGAGGCTGACATTAGCTCATCTGCTCCCTGTAATCAGTAATGCACAGGCATTACCCAGAGAATAAATGTGATAGGGGTCGCTGGATGAAGACACGATGGGGCGGCTGAGGAGGTGGCCTTTGCCTCTCTTCCTGCTCTCTCACATTAGGGGATGTGGTTAGCATGCTCAAGAGACCAAGATTTAGGAAAGGATCTGTCTGTTGCATGAGAGATAACCTGGGTTCAACTATCTCCTGGGTTTCCACGTTTCCAACCTAGTTCCTACAAATTAGGTAAAATCCTACGTGTGTGTGTGTGTGTGTGTGTGTGTGTGTGTGTGTGTGTGTGTGTGTGTGTGTAGTGTCCAAGGAAGCCACCCTCAGCCACTAAAAAGTCACGCCAGGACTGTCAAGTAAGTGTAGCTTGAAATGTTCATCTCTGTCATGATGATTTGCCAGGTGTATAAATGGCACCACATGATGAGAAAAATAGGCTTTGAAAGAAGTAGCCGCCAGAGGAGACCAAGCTGAAGAGAGGGAAAGGCTCTGAGGGAAATGCTTCTTAGATCACCTGCCTTTGTGCACCGTCTCCGTGTGTGTGTGTGTGTGTGTGTGTGTGTGTGTGTGTGTGTACTCTTTAATCTTCTCTCAACCTTTTTGTGGTTTGTTTGTTTTTGGTTTTTCAGAAATAGGGTTTCTCTGTGTAGCCCTGGCTGTCCTGGAACTCACGCAGTAGACAGGGCAGCCCTTGAAATCACAGAGATCTGACTTTCAAGTGCTGGGATTTTCCTTTTTGGAGTGCAGACTTTGAGGCCTTGGAATCCTAAATCCAAATACCGGGATGGCTATTTGGTGTATAAAGAGATGGCTCAGTGTATAAAAGTATTTGCAAGCAAGCCTGACTGAGTTAAATCCCCAGAACACACGTGAAAAGCTGTGTGCAGTGAGGCGCACCTGTAACCCCAGTGCTCCCATCAGCTGATACACAGTGCCACAGCAGCAACAAGAGAGACCCTGCTTCAAAAAGAAGGGGAGAACTGATTCCTGAAAAGTTGTTTTCTCTCCTCCACATGAGAGCCATGGTACATGCCTACCCATATACACACACGCACACACACACACACACACACACACACACACACACACACACAGAGAAACAGACAGAGACACAGAGAGAGAAACTTTTAAAAGCACTTACTATTCTTACAGAAGATAAAGCTTCTGTTCTCAGCACCACATCCCAGTTAAGAAGCAAAATGCCAAAACTGTAAGTTAATATAAAGTTGGTATGATGGTACATGCCTAACCTTCAGCTACTGGGGAAATTGGGTTAAGCTCACTAGTTCAAGACCAGCTAGGAAACAGTGAGGAGAGGTAGGGAAGGAGGTAAGGGAGAGGAGAAGAGAGGAGAGGAAAAAATGAGGGAAGGGGAGAGATTTTTCTCGCCAGACATTATATTAGGAACATTAATAGTTTAATTTCTCTTAATCTAGCTTTTCAACACTCTGCATTATTTTTCTATGTTGCCTGTTAATATTCCCTTTAAATGAAGGTGACTTTAAACATCATGGGTTACCTTTGTGAGTCACTGAGAACTTAGCACCCTTATGGATTTGAAGTTTACACCTACCGTTGTGCTCTGGAGAGTATAAATTAGAAGGCCTCTTTCGGATCTATAGATGAATGTGTTTTGTGAAGTCCCTTACTTTCTGCCACTGGATACCATGTTGGAAAGGGGACAGTAGTGTGTGTGTGTGTGTGTGTGTGTGTGTGTGTGTGTGTGTGTACGTGTATGTGTTGCCTGGTGGACAACTTCTATGCCATTCTTAGGAACACATCCACCTCCTTTTGAGATAGTCTCTCATTGGTGGGGAACTCACCAATTGGGCTGGATTGTTTGTCCAGCAAGCCCCCAAGGAACCTCTTGTCTCTGCATTCCCAGTACTAGGATAGCTGTGTGTCAGCGTACCATCTATGTCATCCCCCAGCCTCAGGAATCAGCATTTTGATGACCTCTGACATGTAGCACTGCAGAGGATACTTTATGTTAATGATCCAGTGCCTATCAAAGTCTTTTGAAAGAACTATCTTGAGCACTTTGCAGACCAAGATGGCCAAAGCCCAGCTGCTGGCTCATGTTTTGTGTTCATTTAACTTCTGGCTGTTGGTTGTCATTGCTGTGTTCTTTGAGACAACAGAAAAAAAAAAAAAAAAAAAAGGTGCCTCTTCTATTTAAAAACCTTTACACCAGATTTACAAAACTCTAGAAAATGTCTCTAGGGTGACCTTGAGCAAACGGCTTAACGTCTCAGCTGCCATGGTCTCCTGGCCTGTGGCACAGTTGGTGAGTTGTTTAGAACACAGTGACTTGATTCTGTGCAAAAGGCAGCCCTTGGAGAATGAACTAACTTCAGGGCTTCTTTAAATGCTGTGGCAACTCACTGCACGCCCGACTAAGCGGTCATTATCTAATCATGACAACCAAGACAGAACCACATTCCTGTGTTTACTTTCCTTTAAGCTTGGGAACTGATGGTATAATCTCAAGATGGCTTCTGCTCTCAGAATAAAGGACGTTATTGATAGTGAATCTCTAGGGACCTGAAGGAAGGACCCAGGAGGAGTAGAAACTCTACCCTAGAAAGACCTATCTCTGGAATGCCCCTCTGGGCCTGCTTTTATTTACAGGGAACCTGTACCAGCCACCTCTACTCTGCACACCAGGCTTCCCTTCACCCATAAAGCCAATTAGACACAGGTGATCAATGAAAACCATGAGACTTGTATCAAGGTAAAGGTGACCTCTGTAGCAATGTCATCTCTTCAGAGAACAGCCAGGATGCTGACAACTCAGTGTCTAAGCCCACGCTCAGCAGTTCTCCAGTGACAGAATCAGCAAGCAGGGCTTGTATGGCCTGAAATGTGTCTGTCTGCTAAACAGAAGCAGACATAATCCCAGCAATTATACCCCAACGAAGGGCGTTCATCATGCTAACAGCACTAGCTGGGAATAAGAACCCAATTCTGCCAGCGCCTGCCTTCCGTATCAAAAAATAAGATGTTTTGTTCTAGTATTTTTTTAATATATTTTATTTATTTAGGGTGGATGCATGCCATAGCACTAGTGTGAAGATCGGAGGATAACTTCATAGAATCAGTTCCCTCCTTCCACCTTTGTATGGGTTCTCTGGACTGGACTTGGCTTGCCAGCCTACATGGCACCAACGTGCCTTTACTCACTGAGCCATCTTGCCAGCCCCTGATCTAGTTATCCAGCCTCACCTCCCATTGGGCAGAAAGACTTAGACTCAGGTGCTAGAATGTGTGTTCATCCTCCACTTAGTTGTGAGCTTTCTGCATGCAATAGGTAGAGAGATGAGTCTGAGAAGTTGTGATTCTCACTGTTCCCAGAATATGGTCCATGACTGATTTCTGACCTCTTATTCACCTGCCTAGTGGCACATGGTGAAATAATACATATTAATCACTGATTTCCTCAACAAATAAAGTTACCTTGGTAATTAACCCAGTCTGTAGTTCCAATCCTGCAATACAAATCTGATCTGTCTTAGATGTCAGCAGCTCTGACTTACAACACTAGCTGACCTGTGGCTGGCATGCAGACATGGGCTCTAGAATACCAGCAATGTCTTTTTAATGAGACTCCAGGAAGAAATGAATTTGTACGCTGTCCATGCCCTTGGGGTAGGCAGCATGAGGTAAATGGAGTGACAGCGCACACGGGCTTAGAACCCTTGACCTCCAAGCCTCACAGGAAGGGACACGTACCACCTGGGCCCTCGGAGGAAGAATGTTCCTCCAAGAAAGGCTAGGCCAATCCCTGAGCCAAACCCACACACAACCTTGCCAGAGTCCATGCCTGCCCTTGTCAATCAGTATCCATTTGCCAGGCAGCAGCTCCCACAGGGACACTCAGTCCAAGGACTCTTGGCATACAGGGCATCTCAAGGACATGGTGGGCTTTGACAACTCTCCTTATGCCGTGTGAGTCAAAAGGTAATGTATGAAATGTTTCCAAACAGAACTCTGTAAAGTCTCGTGAGGTCTTGGGAGAGACTTCGGAGGAGAGGAACTTTCTAAGCAGGGCCTTCCATATGGGCTTGGATGAGGTTTCTTTAAGAATCAGTCACACCCACAAAGCTACAGACCTTTCTCCCAAAGGCCCTGTTGTTTTCTAGCCCTACTTTTCACAACCTTTTACCTTCCAAATTAAAAAAAAAAAAAAAAAAAGCATAACAACAAAGCTCTGGTCTGGCCACTTGTATGCAAGGACACTTTCTTTTCACTGTAGACGTGTTTACCCATGACTCAAGGGCTTCCTAGAATTTTAGACAGATGGGTAAAGATGCTGCAGCTGGTGGACAGCGGGTGACTACAAGGTTCACTGCCAACACACAGCATGTGCAAAGGGATGCTGGTCTCACTTGTGGGCAATCCTGAGCCCAGCAAGCTTCACGGTGACTTGTGTGCTTGGCAAATCACATAACTGAATATGATTCGAGGAGCCGTAAAATTAAATAGATAAATAAGAATTCTAGCAATGGTAACATGTTTTGAAATTGTAATTAGGAAAACTGAATTCAAAACTCAAATGCAGAATGAATCTGGGCTGTTCCCGGCGGCCCTCGCCTGTGTCGCACCACCGCCCCCCTGCATCTCTGCTTCTGACCCCACAGCACCAGCACTGTGGGAGCCATCATGCCCTGCAGCGCCACCTAAGCTCTGGGGGACACCTCAGTTTAGATCCAGGATTCTGTGGCTCTATGGATGGCAGGGTCTTTACTGTGTATACAGACGTCGCCGTACTTACAGAAACCGATTTAATTGCCGGAAACAAGGTCTTTGAGTATTTCCCTACTGCTCTTCTTCAGTATGCATCACCTTAGTGTATGTTTGGACAG